ACACTAAATAGTTTTGTGTTAAACTTATAATATGTTAAGATTATTTCCTACAAGCGATAAACACTGATATGCCATCTTACAATGTGCAAATAATGTAGCAATGCTCCTTTTGAAATATGGTCTATATATTTATATATATATCACTTTTCGATTTGCAACGCGATGGTAACAAATTAAGAAGTGCGATCGCTTTGAATTTAATATAAATTATGACGATTACATTTATCGCGGTTTTTGTTTACCTATTACACTGAAATTTCTCCAACAAATCTTAAACACATTTTTTTTTCAAATATTTGTTTCCATCTGATTATTTTTATCATTCTCAAGGATGTAGCCGACCATGAAGTTGAGGTGATCTATCATTTAATCAAGCGAGTCAGTAATTATTCGGCTCCTTTCTCCCTAAGAATAACTGCTTTAGAGTTGGTAGAGTTTTACTTTGTTTATATAAAGATAGGAAAAATCAGCGAACAATAAGGATCAAGGACCGACTCAACACTTCAAGAAATGTTTTTATTAATCACAAGAATTGAGTTTCGCGATGTTATAGAGATTTTTTTCATAAAAATACTATGGTATTATCTTAATATATTTAATACATATAATTTAAGAAAATGAAAGGGAAAAAATGTTAAATGTATTAAAAGATGAGGTCTATAAAGATGTTTCCATTTCAAAGAAAAGTAAGGCGGAACGCGGTGTAGAAATTTACCACTATCAGAGTGTAACCGTCCTAACACAATATGACCACTTTACCAACATCTAGATATCTTTGGTGTGTTGAGTTACCTAATCAAAATAAACAATTATCCTCTCGTTTAAGAGTGCACACGCAAGTGTTTATTTTGGTGTCACCAGCCCACACTTTAATTCAAATCACATTATGATTATTGAACCATGATCAAATATAAAAATAGTTTTGTGTTATATCCGAGTTAAAATCAGACGGAACTTGTCTTTGTGTGTCCGTCGCTACCACAGACGGTGATTTTACGGAATCTAATGCGACCCAGTCCTCGTCTCTCATTTGATATTACAACATGTGGTTTTCATATTGTTTTATGAATTAGCTGTTCACGCCTCTGTTTCCTACAAGGCAGGCGTGGGAAGCGGCTACGCCGGGCTATCATTTCTAGTAGTCATCAGACAAGTATTTTAAGCACATCGCGTTTGTGTCTCTGTTGACAAAGATTGGCCAGAGAAATAGAAAATATTAAGATTGTCCAGATAAATAGATTTAAAAACCTCAATATGAGACCTAAACCTGATCAAATTTAACCGGAAAACAGTTGTATTTATGCCTGATGAAATAGCAATTGTTATGAATTATGTCCGTGTAACATATGTATAAAACATTGTGTAGTTATCAAAATTAATCAATGCTAGTTTGTGCAGTGTGTCACCACAACATAAATTGCCGGGATGTAGGGAGTGGTCCAGTCTAATATACCGTGTCCGGAAAGTCGTTTGTAGCACCGACCTACCTAGCTCTTCATCATCACTAAACTTCTGGTATCACATGATACCACTTAGACGACGAGTTCGAAGATGCTATCGACGAGCATGATGCGATCTTTTTCTGCTTTCATATCTCTTTTTTAAAAAGGCTTTGTGCCTTATCCTTGTTACTGGCAATAAAAGTAAAACCATCTAAATTGAATATATGATTTGTCGACATTACTGGGTTCTTAGACTTTATCAGTGGTCAGATCGGTGACATGAAGAGCGAGACTAAATGCATGGAGCGTAACACGTAACACTGTGAAAAGAGATACACTCCAGTTTATTAGTTGCATGTAGCCGCTAAACAACAAAATCCGCCATTCACGATAACTGAGTTACTATCATATGTATGTATTAATTCCGCATTAAGCAGAAAAGTGTAAGCGGTGTTACACTTGTAAGGTATATATGACTAGTTTTGTTAACATCAGTCAAGCATGGTGTGTGGAGTTCCACCCGACCGATCGCCAATGCTACAACTAACCTACTATGCCTCAGGCCAGCTTCACGTGATCCCACCTGCACGAGACCATTATGTTACTTAGGGACTCATTTTCCGGGCAATAAACATTCTATTCCAAATTACAGATTAAAATTCTTCGCTCTAGAAAATATAAATACGATTGCAACGAGGACACTAAAAGCAGTGTACCGCAACTTTGGAGATCATACACCGTGGACTTGGAACTTCAAAGGCGAACATCTCAGAAATGAATATTGTGGCGGCGGTTTATGTAACACGTTGAATTATTCTAGGATTTTTACATATAGACAGTCTCTTGTTTGTTATTTATTTCTTAAATGTTCCGTAGATTAATATTGTGATATATCGGCTAATATAAGATATGGTCGCCACAGGCAAATCTCATGCAAAATTAAACGTTTTAATTTTCGGAATGATATTGAAAATAGTGAAGGTAATTTTACTTCAATATTTTTTGTAAAATAAAATACCTTTATATAATTTAATTACACTTATGAAATTATTTTTTTATCGTTTGAAAAAAATATATATAAATTCATGATTATGAAGTTTGATCCAGTCAATGGAGTTTTCGCAATTAACTTCCTCTAATAAAATCATGCACATTTTCCTTATTGCCTGACATATTTTCACTAAGTATCTTAACATTTCCTGTGATGACCGGAGTTGTGACCTTACAGAGAATCACAAAGTATACTGCGGCTGTGTGGCCTGGGTATACAAACAAGGTGAGTAAGGGGACAGGAATCCATTGAGTTGGTCAGCCCCCGTCACCACTTCTATCAAGAGATAATTAAAACCGTCAGGTGAGTTTCAATATTGAAGCTATCAATGGACAGACTTTATGAATATACACCGATTAAATATCCCTTAAAATAGTTCTGGAAAAAACGTTATAAATCCTCGCTTCTGAGTTCGAAGAATAAAAATTCATTAAATCATACGGAGAGAAAAAAATGAGAATTTATTCTCGGTATAATTTAAATGGATGACCATGTCTTGTTTTGTCGGACAAGCGCGATGTGTACGGCTATATGGTTTAACCGTGTGATTGTCCTCGGGTTAAAACTATAAATCACTTGCTAGCAAGAAGGAACTGGGAGACAGTGACTCATATCTATATCACGTATACATGTCAAAACTAATATCCACAGTGACATAACCCCATCACAGTTATAGAGTGCAGATTAGTAACGCAAAATGAACTGACCAATTTCCTCAAGTAAGCATTAGTAATGAGCTGTCCGATAACAGTATTATTCTTAATATATTGTAAACAAATATATAGCTATTTTCAATGAACTTTTTTTTTTAATTTCGCAAAGTGGTAGAGAAAATTGAAAATATATTTGGAGATGAAACTTTTGAAATACTGGTATGCAACAATACAAAAAACAGGAAATATTTACAAAAGTCTAATAGAATGAAGTTTATCTAGCTATACACCTGTATCAACTAAAAATGTAAACGATTAATTTATAATCAATTAACATTCGCTCCTGATGAGGGTTTGTTACAGGACTTATCTATGCACCACAATTTAAATTCGCATTTAAAGTTTACAGACCTGTATACTTTTCTAAAAATTAACTAGTTAATTAGAAAGGCATGATATTACAAAACTGTTAAGCAAAATATCGCGGTAAAGGCATTTTGGATTCACTCGAGAAAAAAACAAAAATGAAGATGTGGAGCTAGCGGACATGCAGTCTTGGTGTACGGATAACTTACCGGCGAAAACAAAATATCTGCCATTGTTCACAAGCTTATGATATCATGTCTTTCTTTTGAAACCAATGTAGATCTCTTGTGACCGAGGGTGGCGAGAAAAACCTATTTTGCAGGTCATATCCACTAGGTGGCGATAGCTACAAAGGGAAATGGAGTGTAAACAAATCTAGACTCATTGCTCAGCCTGTACTGCCATATAAGGTATCACAAAGGCTTGCCGACAGATCAAAGGAAGCCGACAAATACTTGTTCTATATGGAAATTACTAATTCCCAATATAGCGCACATTGATGAAATACACAGGTTCGATGTTATGTTTTCTGTCGCTTGTTTCAAGAACAGATTGAACAGAGTAAAAAGACAATATGTGCCGTAGGAACGAATTTCTCTTCCAACCCACTTGACCTTTGCAAGCGGGCCGGTCTATCGGATCGCTGAGATTCGAGATAGGCGGCAACATCAAAGGGGTCCTAGTTAAAAACATTATAGTCGAGACGCATAACAGGAATGTTTTAACCGTTGCTGCTTGTCCTAACTCTGGTGGATTTCAGTTAAAACAAACAGACTAAAATTGATTTAACGATAAATGATTAAATTATTCTTAGCTGTGTCTGTAATATAAACTTCAATAAAAGACGGGATATAATAAGACACATTAAAAAAAATTGATTAGAATTTTTTTGTATTTCCTAATATATTCCTAAAACAAGTAATGTCTACAAATTCGTTGTAAATTTACATTTTTAGACTATTCCAAAAAGTTACATTATTTTATATGTGAAAAGTCAAATCATGATATTGTAAATGTAATCATATTACAAAAATGTAATACTACCACATCCTTTTTATACGACTTGCACGCATTTACTCCTTCAGATGTTGTTTTCCAACATCAAAGGGAAGGCTTCTGAAGGAGAAATCCTCTGTGGTGTCCTACATTTTTTAAAATGTAAATATTGGCATTGCATGGAACCGTTCTCGCTTAATATAAAGTATAAAAGTTTTTCATTGGTGACAGCACGTAGTATTGAAACTGCAGAAATTTATTCTTATATTGAATTACGCCTCGTACGTTGGAAAAATATTAAAATTTGTGGATATCCGCAAGAATTTTATTTAAATGCTGCCCTTTGACGGGCCTCTTTGTGCCTGAAACCTTTTTGTAACGACGTTTTTGATTGGTCGGACGGTTAAGTGCTTGCTGCCAATTGGGCGCTTCCCATCTGAATGTCTTCACAGAGAGTATATTCATGGCGGATTCAAAACGTGTGTGTGAGAGACAGTACATCAAAAAGTAAAGGATTGGATTGTATTTTGTGTTTTTACAATGCCGCATGTGAACTCTGGCGGCTCCGAAGACTTTTTCTCGAACGATGAAGTGAAAGTTTACAAAGATGAAGGCGAGGAAGAAAAGAGATCGTCCGAAAATTTATCCGAGGATAAACTGGGTTTGGTTACCGAAACAGAGGAGGTAGGTACACTTGTATAGTTTAATTACATCAATAGGCGTTGGGCCTGTTTGATTCATCTAGGTCGCTTGGTATATGCCACCATCATGGCCTGGATAATTTCATGACGAATATGTTTGTCCATTTCAGGGCAAAAACAATAACCTTGGTGGCAGCTACGCTGGGAACGACAAGGAGGGTGTGCGGGAGGACGGTAAGTTTTCAAATTCATGTCGCTTACTGGTCAGCCTTGACCACTAGGTCACGGAGTTTTACACCAGATTTTCTATTTGATTTGGATTTACCGGGATTCATTCTGGCTATTTCTGTATCGTCTGTGAGGTAAAGGGATCGTGAAACGGGACCTGTTTATGTCGTGTGTATAGGAAGTGATCGAGTGTGTAAAATTATGCACCTTTTGTTGTGAGGTCCTTTGTGTCCTCATAAGCATATGAATGGCCCAGTGGCCCGGTTGACATGCCTTCGCTTCACAAAGGACTTGAATGCTATCGTATGACAAATGTGTCGGTATTTATCTTCCAATTCGAAGAGGTTTTCCTTTGAAATTATCATTATTTAATGATACCTTATGGAATTGTTGTAATAAACGTCTTGTTGCCTGTGTGGATATTTTTAGTAACAACAGAGAATCTGAACTGGCCAAATGTGCAGAGGCAGTGGTCAGCGGTACATGTGCTAAGGATCCAGTTTGAATTTGAATAGCAGCGTAAGGATTGGATTACAGGATGGCATCATTATCTACTGACCCTGAAGGATACAAACTGTTTGATGTAATCACTGCTTCAGCAAGCATTCAGTCAGCAGAACTGGAATCACCTAGTCACCTTTCATCTTTGATCAATGTGCATTAAAGATGTAGATTAAGAGGTTTTACTGATGATAAATCAGATATTCATGCCCATTTCCCTGCATACAGTTTGGATTAAACTTTCAAAATATATTGGAATATATTTTGATACATAAATCAGATTGTAACTGGAAAATACACACGTGTCATCTCAGTTCAGTATACCATAATGGTAGGGAAATATGAATAAACAGGATTGATACATGATAATTTCAGGCTTTAATGGAATTTATTGATATGATTCCTTTCATGTTTAGGAACTGTTATTGTTAGCATAATTTTTGCAGATCAATATCTTTTAGTCATGGTGTATAGTAATCATGAACCTTTCCCCCTACCACCATCATAGATATTTTAGAGTCTGTGTGTGATAAAACTTGATCAGTTGACATGATACAGGCGCCTGGGAAATTTAAGTGCTTTGTTTTCTTATACCATAGCAGTATTTTTTATTGGGGTAGGTTTTATATTGATTTGAGATTGGAGTATATACCATAATCAAGCTGATTTATTCCATTCAGGTTATTTTCAATTAGAATTGTTTTCATTAGTTTCCTCTACCATTGCAATGTGTATCATATATTAATTATCTTTAACTACAATATAAAATTCGGAAATTAAGTAAAAAGGTATAACATTGTAATGTTTCATTGGTAGAAATAGACTAATGCAGTCTATTGCTCACTGGATTTGTAAAGATCTCTTTGAAAATGAAAACAAGATGTTTAAAAAGAAGTGTGATATTTAATTTGATCAAGCAGAGAACACATTTTTGATAGTTCAGCACTGTCAGTGATATATTTTGTCTAGTAGACCTCCCTTTGTAACCATATCAGACTTTGGGACTGATTCAAGTTTATTTGTTGTCCCCATTTTGAGATATGTGAGGTGTTTGTATACATCAAAGGTACAGTAAATTAAAAAAAATGATCAGTTTCCCTTAAACAGGATGTGTAAAACCTCTGATTATCTTTGTTGGAAGTTTATACAATCAACAGACAATATCTATTAGCTGGCCTAAAATAACCATTCAAAACATGACAAAATAGATTTTACAGGAATAGAATTTAAATTCTTTTCAGTTTAATACCTGCATCACCTCTCCTATTAAGGTACAATTTTCAGTAATTTTGATCGAAACAAAGTTTTAAAAGAATGAATGTAATTGGGACAAAACCCCAAAAGTTTGACTTTATTTTTTTTTCAATCTGTTTGATTTCCAAGAAACATCATAATTGTCATAAATCTGTGTAGGCCATAGCAGTATAATCAATGATATTAGTTTAAAAATAACAATTTTCTTACACAGATATCTGACAGGATACTTTTACAAAGTATTCTATGGGATCCCATTAAGGGAAAAGTACTTTTTCAGTATATTTCACTAGTAAAGTCATTGTTCATTTTTAAATAAATGAAGCTATTTGAATGGATTGCAAGACAGATATTTCATAAAGGATAATTTCTAGGAAGATTGTCATTAAAAGTGGTACTTGGACTAGACTGCATTCTGCTATAAAATGGCACATTAAAAATATAGATAATTAAAAAAAAATAATAAAAAGAGAAAAAAAATCAGACATTGTATCATGGATTGGGTACAAGTAAGGATGTATGTGTTGAGATACACAAACATCATGCAGTACAGATCAAATGCACTATAGGAAATATAAATGGTTGACGATGAACACAATGGAGGATTTGGGAATAGTCGGTTACATTTAAGCTTAATGTTCAAAACAGATGAAATGTAATAAGGTTCTTGGATTCAGGCAGTAATTAAGTTAATTTTCAGAAACATCTGTGAAATTCTTGAATGACAATATTTTCACAGCATGTTTCTTTCATGATATCACAAATCACATAACATGAAATTGTGACATCAGAATAGAAACTAACAACCATTCAAAGCTTTTTCTTGTTTTAAGAGCATGCATGTTGGAATGAGCAGCTGTATGATTAAAGTAGTGATGGGAATCAGTTTCACTTTAATCACCAGTAGAAAACATAAAATCAGTTGATAACCGATTGTCATCAGTTTTCTTAATTTAGTATAAAATTGCTTTTTTGTAGAAGTAGATGTACATTGAGAGTATTATAGCCAGAAGTCATTTGTAAACTATCAATGAATATGTTAGCAAAATGAAACCAAAAAAAATCAAGACCACTTTTTGGTTTGGTTAAATTACAAAATATGAAAATTTCATGATGCATATCTAAACAATCGTCCGCCCACCACTAGACGAAAGTTTGCAAAACAAAAATATAATAAACACAGGTTAGGACAAATGTTGTGAAAATGTATGTAAAAACAAATGTAGTATACAATAAACAAGGTTAGGACAAGTTAAGAGAACAATAAACATAAGTAAGGACAGTTGTAGAGAACAATAAACATCAGTTAGGACAAGTGTAGAAAACAATAAACAAAGGCTAGGACAAGTGTAGAGTACAATAAACACAGGGTAGGACGAGTGTAGAGAACAATAAACACAGGGTAGGACGAGTGTAGAGAACAATAAACAATGTTAGGACAAGTTTAGAGAACAATAAACAAAGGCTAGGACAAGTGTAGAGTACAATAAACATCAGTTAGGACGAGTGTAGAGTACAATAAACACAGGTTAGGACAAGTGTAGAGTACAATAAACACAGGGTAGGACAAGTGTAGAGTACAATAAACACAGGGTAGGACAAGTGTAGAGTACAATAAACACAGGGTAGGACAAGTGTAGAGTACAATAAACACAGGTTAGGACAAGTGTAGAGTACAATAAACACAGGGTAGGACAAATGTTGCGTACAATAAACACAGGGTAGGACAAGTGTAGAGTAAATAAACACAGGTTAGGACAAGTGTAGAGTACAATAAACACAGGGTAGGACAAATGTTGCGTACAATAAACACAGGGTAGGACAAGTGTAGATAACAATAAACACAGGGTAGGACAAGTGTAGAGAACAATAAACACAAGGTAGGACAAGTGTAGAGTACAATAAACACAAGGTAGGACAAGTGTAGTGTACAATAAACACAGGTTAGGACAAATGTAGAGTACAATCAATTCAGGGTAGGGCAAGTGTAGTGTACAATAAACACAGGGTAGGATGAGTGTTGCGTACAATAAACACTGGTTAGGACAAATGTAGAGTATGATAAACACAGGGTAGGACAAATGTAGATAACAATTAACACAGGGTAGGACAAGTGTAGAGTACAATAAACACAGGGTAGGACAAGTGTAGAGTACAATAAACACAGGATAGGACAAGTGTAGAGAACAATAAACACAGGGTAGGACAAGTGTAGATAACAATAAACACAGGGTAGGACAAGTGTAGAGTTCAATAAACACAGGGTAGGACAAGTGTAGAGTACAATAAACACAGGGTAGGACAAGTGTAGAGTACAATAAACACAGGGTAGGACAAGTGTAGAGTTCAATAAACACAGGGTAGGACAAGTGTAAAGTACAGTGAACACAGGTTAGGACAAATGTAGAGCACAATAAGCACAGGGTAGGACGAGCATAGAGTACTATAAACATAAGTTAGGACAAATGTAGAGCACAATAAACACAGGAGATGACATGTGTAGAGAACAATACACAGGCCACAAGTAAGGCCAGAGTATAGAGCAATAAATAAAGGTAAGGACAGTGTGGAGAACATTAAACACAGTTTAGGACAAGTAGAGAATAAACACGGGTAACACAAGTTAAGGGAACAATAAGCAAGTTACAAATGTTGACACAAGGCACTGCTGAGGTGTTTACCATAAGGACATGACCAATGTGGACACTTGCCCCAACTTAGTTTTTGTGTTGGCTTGGATGTCTAACAAAAATAATGATCACATGACATGCCATTTTAACAACAGTTGTTGTTGTTGTTAAATTGTGTTTTATTCTACCTAAGACATGTACCAAATTTTGTTTTTTGCTTGTACCAGTCTTTATTAAATTCTGCAATATGTGAATTATACTGTCTGGTTTAAATGGGTCAGTATTGTAATACTGACTTGTAATAGTGCATCTGAAGTAATTTAACAATTTGTAGAAAATGCATAGAATACTAACAAACAAAATCCGACTTTGTGTTGTTGTTGGTTCTATACAAGAAGACAACACTGGAAGTTCTTATTTTTATATTGTACCATGTTCTGTTTGTAGCCTTAAGTGGATCTATCCCACTTATTTTGAAAATCTTTGCTGTATGATTAATGTCACATATTGTGTTCTATTGGGAGTCCTACTAAGTCTTATTTTAAAGAACTTTGTGTAGAAAGTTAAATTTAAGAACAGAGGAAATGACTAGAGCTCCTTTGAGATTTTTTACAATAGATG